GTGCTGAGAGTTTGATACATGCTCACCACTTTTTCAGCATATCAAGAGCCAATGTTTCAACAAATTACGCTGTTGCATCGGTAGTTTCATCTTAACATGCACCAAAACATATTTTACACACAAATGGCTCACACAAATCAGAACAAGTTGCCCTGGCTTCTGTTTGGAGTAGGCGAGCACCAGGCCCACCACACTTTGGTCCAGTGGGCGGTCGGACGCCGTGGATATATTCTGTTTGCAGACTGGCAGCTAGGTACTATTCTGACCCATTATTGGCATGCATTTATGCGTGGTTTGTACGTGACTTGGTACCTTAGACTTAGCAACGCGCGCACAAGTCGAGGAAGCTTTCGCAGTTACGTCGGAAAAAATTGCGCATTCCACAGCTCGTTTGCGCAACGCTTTCTACCCACAGCACTGAAGAAAGATGTAATTGCGATATCTTCGCCGCGAGTACTACAGAATTTCTACGTCGGCCTTCAAGTCCAGCGCCGTTTGCTCACCGCCGCAAACGCCGCACACGCAAAATCTTCGCGCCCCCCAAGAGCTCTGTGTAATTTCGCTGGGAACTCAAGAGCTATTAAATAATAACAGCTGTTCATTGTTGACAAACGTGAGGTAGACGTGCGGCAAACCATACGCAGCCGGGCGTCGACCTTTTGGAAGATCTGGGTGTATGCGCGATTTATTTTAGAAGTTGAATTTGCTTTCACATTCCGTTTCACCTCCCCGGTATGCATTAGCGGCTGTCAGTTCGCGACATACTTTCAATAGGCATACTTTCTATTCTAGATTGGTTACCTTGTGCTGGGAGTCAAATGATCAGTGACTGAGTACAGACCATGCTGCAAAAAATACAACGTCGAACATGACCGACGCAGCAGCAGCATCGTGACCGAAATTTCAGTGCTTGTATGCTGTGAATTCCGGCGTCTGCGATTCGGTGCATGGTGCCAATTTTTCGGCGAGGAGTTGATATTTCTTGATGTGGGGATGAAAAGAAAATGTTGCACAACATTTCTTCAAACATTTTTCACATCAAAGTAATTTGAAAATTCAGCCTTATATGGCCTGGCGTTAGTTGGATTGTTGTGTAGGTATTTGCTGCACATGGGATGTATTTTTTGTAGGCTGAGATGCAGGGGCATGTACAGGATTTCCCAATGGGTGTGTTGAGATGGGGAGTTTGGGGGGGGGACAAGTGCAACAGAAAATCTTCATGGAAAAAACAGTCAGGTGCACTAAAGGCACATAATAGCAATGATCACAGCTTAAAAATGCATATTCTCAATGTGGTTATTTTACCTGTGTAGCATGTTACATTGGGCCATATTTATTCTCTCAAGTGTATTAATCCTTACCTTTCCTTACCTTATGGTGATCAGGAATTATAATAGGCCACTAGACCTGTAGGTCCCAGTCTTGTCAGGCTGCTGATCCAGTAACCAAACAGTCTCAAATTATGGGAAGATTCAGTGTGGTTACTTGATAGGGGAGGGTGCATTTTCCCCCAGTACCCCCTTGAACATGCCACTGATTCAGTTATCTCACATTAACATCAAAGAAAGGCCAAGTTAAAAAGTTGGTATGGCATCTAAGCACACCTACCAGACCATACTCTCTGCCTGCAGTTGGCACAAACAATGGCTTAGTTTGATAGAACTGTAGGTTTATGCCTGACGGTAATGCATTTATTCCAGTATTTTGTAGCTCTCTTGTGTCTGTATTGAAATCATGTGTTAGAAAGCTTGAATCATTTCCTTCTGCAGGCTGAGGCTTCATAAGCATTTGATTTCAAAATTCCATCCATCATTCCACATATGTTGGAATCTCATGCCACAAAGGGATTGACAGAGCAGGCAAAGAGAGGGCTTTTCTCAGTTTAATAAACTATCCACTATTCTTAGATGTGCCTTTGCCTTAAGTTTGAGATACTTTTGGAGATGTCAACAACATTTATCTTGCATACAGTTTCATTAAACATGCATTGGGCTGCTGCTCTTTGTATTGATTATATGGCTTTTCCCATGATCTCTGTATTTGTATGTCCTTATCTTCTTGGTAGCCAGCTAGTACCTATCTCTTATAGAACTACCTGCATAAGAATGCTCATATTTGAGACATATGGTTGCTATTGAGTTGGACTGTGCAGTTTAATTTGCCCAGCAGTGGTAAGCTCAATTCTAGCTCTGACACTTTAACTTTGACATTTAGCCTACTTAACTCTACCCAATATCTGCCAATAACAAAATCTAAATGCTTGAAATAGGATGCCTATTCCACCTGTGTCAAGTGTGCATTTGAAGTACCATGTTCCTTGGTATGGAGTGCAATGCACAAGACATTTTCACATCACTAGGTATATGTAAAATCTTGGATTGAATTGGCAACATTTGGTCAGTGACGCCCTGATTTGTGTCCAGGCAGTTGAACACCCAGTAGTAAATGTATGTTCCTGACCATTGGTACCTGCCCATGGTCCTAAGTTTCCACTGATTACTGCAGAGCTACCTATAACAGGTGATGCACTCTTCTATAAGGGGTAATTTAAGGGAAATGTAAAATGTCATTTTATTAGGTTTTATTTGGTCTATGGTCAATGACAGTATTTGCAGTCCTCATGAGCCAATTGGAAGACTTCACACATCCCTCCTGAGGTATTGCTGCATGTCCTATTCTGTGGTGCCAACCACTGCACTTCTTATATTTTCTGGTCCATCATTGCATAAGTAATTGCACAAGGTCCATATTTTGCACAAGGCCTGCATATTATTTTTTACATGATGCAGTTGCTTTCCATGCCACCAGAATGGTGTGGGCTAGAATCTTGTGCTACATCAGTGGCTTGAAACTGTTAATATGATCCACATAGCTGCTTACACACTGGAATGCATTTCTGTGGCTGTGCCCCCTGATGTCATGGTTGGCCCATGTCGGCTGTCTGCCCGCGTGTGCACGTGAGCCGGAGCTGACCCGGGTCCGGATCGGACGCTAGGCGCGCTGCACGGCACAGCACCACTCCCGGACAGCGTAGGACACTCAGCTCTGTGCCTGCAGCGAGTCCAGCCGCGGCCGCTGAGATGCCGGACCAGACGCTGAAGGAGCTGGACCGCATTGTGCGACGCGTGGTACGCGGAGAGACGGGCTTCACGCTCGATCAGGTGGTCGAGGCCGTCGCCGAGATCCTCATCGACGAGTCCACGCTGGCCGTCTGTTTCGACGTGAGCGTAATCCCCCCCCCCCGGCCATGTTTGCCGTCATCTTTCATTTAATGGGCGCAGAATGCCTTGTCTGTAAAATGTAGGTCATTCCAAATGATCGTGTGTGTCAATGTTTGCAACGCTGCTGAGGTAGGAGCTAAAAATGTGAAGGTCATCAGTCCGAGCTCCTGCCGTCCTCCTCTCACGCGGTGCGCCACCGGCAGGTGCACAAGGCGGCCAAGACAGGCGCCATGGAGGCCGAGGGTCTGGACGCCGACGAGCCAGGCGAGTTCCGCATCGTCGAGACGCCGGGCCTGGACGTGCTGGGCCAGCCGGAGCAGATGAAGCGGCCGCCGGACGCCAAGTGCCCCGTTTGCGCGCGCAGCATCGCCTGCACCAGGTTCGCGCCGCACCTGGAGAAGTGCGTCGGCCTCGGGCGCAACTCGTCCCGGCTGGCCAGCAAGCGCATCGCCAGCAACCAGCGCGAGACCAACTACGGCCTGAGCGAGGACGAGGACGAGGAGGAGTGGGCCGGCGAGCGCAAGAAGAAGAAGCGCGACAAGCTGTCGCCGCGCAGGAACAAGGTGAGGACCGGCAGTGGAGAGCGGGGAGCGGATGGACGACGGCCTGCGACTTCCACTGCAGAGCGCGTCTGTCTTGTGTGGCTGATCGTGCATACCGCAGTCTCAGAAAGTGTGTGATGGCTGGCTGCATTGGTCAATGTTTATTGCGATAACGCTGATCTCTTTCGCCTTAAACCGAATTTTGATATATGATTGCATCACGAAGCTAACGCGACATGTGTGAGCCTCTCCTGGTTGTTTCGCGGCCTTGACGGAGAATTGCTTCCCCGCCAGAGTGGCCCGCAAGAATGGCGGCGGCGACAAGGACTCGGACACCAAGTCGAACCCGTCCAACCCGTCCTCGTCGCCGTCCACGCCCGAGCAGGCCATCCAGTTCGAGCAGCTGACCGAGGAGGAGCGCAAGGTGCTCTTCAGCCAGGTGCGTGGCCGCTGGGATTGGGAGGGGGACGAGGACAGAACGGGACGGGGTCGATGGTGGTTTGTGATGTACATGATTCACTTGTCGCGCGAACAGCGAGCTCCGGACCTGGCAGCGCCTCATGCTTCTGTCTCCGAAACAAGTGTGCGAACCGCTCCCCACGTACCTCTCGGAACCTGCGCCTCTTACGGCTGACGGCCTCCGCGTGGGCTGTGGTTAAAGGTCTCCCCGGTCCCTCGCGCGACGCATCTGTCCGGCCGCTCCAGTAGTGGCTCTCTCGCCGTGGTTCGATAGTTGTGTTCCGGTCAGTGTGTCAGTGCCGCACGCTGCCCGGCGCGGCGACCCACCCCCATCACTCTGACGGCGCCACCTGCCGCCAGGTGTGCGGCGTCATCTCGGAGAGCACGCGGCACATGTGCACGCGCTCGGTGCGCTGTCAGCAGCACTCGGACACGCAGCGACGCACCGTGCGCACGGCGCTGTTTGGCGACGCCTGCGAGCTGGCGCCGCCCTGCGCCGAGCCGCTGGAGGAGGGCGCGCTCAAGGACAGCCTCAGCAAGCTCTGGGAGAAGGCGTCGCGCGCCTCGTCGCCGGCCGACTCCACCTCGACCGTCGCGTCGGTCGGCTCGACCAAGCGCACCAAGGGCAAGCGTGGCAAGGCCAAGAAGCTGAAGGTGCACGTGTCGCAGCCGAGCAGCGTGTGAGAAGGTTCGGCCGGCCGCTTCTTGGGGACCGTCGACAGAGCGCCGGGGGAGCGTTGGAGAAGAGCTGGAGGAGTGCCGGCGGAGCGGTGCGCGAGCTGTGTACGTCACGGCGCAGGAAAATCCGTGGTCGTAGTCAAGCTGTCCGAGGTCCGTGCGTGTTGTAGTCGAGCTGTTCGAGGTCCTCGTATGGTGTTCTGAGGCTCGCCTGATGTGCCCTCTGATATTTTGAAATTCGGGTGTCGCGCTGTGTGGAAGCCCGGCGCGGCGCGGTCTGGCAGTGTCTCAATGTTCTAGTGGCACGGTCTGGTAGTATTTCAATGTTCTCGTGGCGATGTCGGAGGACCCCGGCTTGCGGCAGGACCGTGTGTTGGGGTCCAACGGCGCCGTGGGGCTGGACCTCCATGTGGTGCGGTTGTGTCGCGTCGGAAGGGCCGGCGGCGCGTGATATACCTCCAGGTGCGACCAGAGCGCACAGCAGGGACTGCCTGCGAGCTTACCGGGGCCGCCAGGCCCCGGCGCACGCGCCAGCTGCTGTTGTGGGCGCGACGCCGCGTGGGGCGCGGCGACCCCCTGTCCCCTGACGACCCCCCCCCCCCCGCCGCGCAGTCTGCGGGCCGGTGCTGCTGTGCTCAATGTGATAAGCGGCCCAGTGTAGTATTTGGTTCGTTCAGGGCAGCGCGAGCGGAGGCGCGACGACCCTGTGTTTCAGACACACTTCTCTACTCCGCGGGACCAAGCGTAAGGTCCTCCGATGGCTGTATTGTACGGGGCAGGTGCCCTGCGTTGCAGTCGCTTGCTGTTGTCCTGTTGCTGGATCTAGTGTCTGAGTACCGGATGTCCCGGTATCCTCGATCGACCACCGCTATGGACTATTGGCATCGGGAACATCGTGTAGTGCTTGAACGCAAACCTGGTCTGGTCCCAGCTTTCGCCGCTGCTGGTTCCTTGGCTGGTAGGTGTCGTTTTGGCTGGTTGTGCATAACTGGTTGCCTGACTGCGCAAGAATACAGAAACAAGTCCTTGCTCCTGGTGTATGTGCTGTTCATGCACGAGTTTTTCGGCCGGCACCCGGCTGTTGTGCTCTAGCCTCCCAAATTCATGCCACGAAAGTTGTTTTTGCTTTTTAAACAAGGTCATGGCGTAGATTATGGAGTGCTTGTCACACCAATGTGGTATATTTCGTTTCATAAAATTATTATCACGTATAGTGTCAATAACTATCCGGCTACTGATCACGAAGTGTCGAACGAGCACCTACAAATTCAATTTCGGACATTGCTACCTTTTCTAAGTGAGCTGTAAACGGATCTGCGATTCTGTTTGACGATCATATAACATCTCGTGAGCAGTGACAGTATTTAAACTCCATGCCTGAAAATGTGTGCTGATGCTATGGCTTTTCTGTTTTCCTGTGAAGCAGCTCCGGACATGGATATATTTTATTTCCATAACCTGCCCAACGTTTTTGCTCAAGATCGGCCACGCATGAGCTTTGGTATAATATATATATATATATATATATATATATATATATATATATATATAACCCATCTAATGTCGTGCAACATTGGAGAATCGATGATCCGTACATCAAGTCCCAATCAGCAATTTTGAGTAGCCTTGAGACATCAGAAAGCAGATTGTGATGTCCAGAGATGCCGATTGAGATCAGCGTAGCAGCCTATACTAAGGCTTGCATAACTGCTGAACCAGTTTTTCTACAGTGAAGCTAGTTGTGATTCTAGGCTAAAAGTTGTAGGTAGCCCAGCGTCCAAGTGATGCAACCGCAAGCCCCCTGTTAGGTTCCGCTGCGCGGATTTTCGATAAAGCCCAAGTAGCGACAATCGACAATAGGTGTCGGTGTATGGCCGGCGAACTGCCGTCAGTGGCCTCTGCGGAATGGGTGATGCTTCCGCTGAAGGGCCGGTGGGTCGTTCCGCTGTAACCTCTCCCTTGTGGCTCATGTACTTTGGTGGAATATACAAGCAATGAAACGGCACGTAACCAGAGAGATTCTGGTCATGGCTGTGCTCATTGGGCGAGGAGCAAAGAGACGTGACGGGACACGTGACTGGCAAACCCCCGAGTTGATCGGGTGTCTTTATCAAACATGCAGCCAGGGAGGAGGGCTATAGGTGTGATTTCCCCTACCCACCCATGAAAAAGTTTGGACACCGCCCCGTTAAAAAATCACAAAGGCTCCCACCATACACCGGAAGGACGGCCAAATTTGTATTCATTGTTGTCATGTTTGCATTCGCAGTGAACAAAAAGCGCTTCCTCCCCCACGTCAAAGCAGAAGGTAGGCCCATGAGATTCAGCAAGCCGCCGAACAGTCACAATCAACTTATTTACGACACATTAAGTACGGAGCGATCTTGTATTCGTTGGCCAGTTTTGTTGATCATTTTGTAGACGGTCCACAAGCGGTCTGTGTGGGTGCGGGAAGCACAAGCTATGGTGTTTTATTATTACAACGATCAACAGCGCTACGCATTTAACGGCGACGCGATATTAAGCACATCGAGAGGTGCACGCCTCCCACACAGCAAGGTCAGAGAGGAAGGAAAACGTACGGACACACCCTCCCAACTTTAACGTATGTTATTAAGTGCAATTTACGAGGAACGTTACACATGTGAGTAATACAGGACCAAAAGCCTTATTCTTTACAGTATAACCAGGAGAATGGAGATATAGATGAATCGAGATATCGCCAGCATGCCTTAAAAAGAATGCCAGTTGTAAATTAAAAACTGTCTGCCGGTCCTATTCGGCAGGCCGTTTTGTTTACACAGAATATGCCCCTCCGAGCTTTTGTGGAATTTGAAGCTGCACGTCTTATACCATATGAAGAACATGACGCTTTATGGCGGGAGAAAGGCGCCTCAACAATATCAATAAGCTGGGCCCCCGATGGGGCTCTGTAACACGCCAACCAAGCTCTTCACGAACGCAGGTGTACACTAGTTATTCTTATCATCCTGCGCTACAGGTTTGACTGTTCCAGAACGCTTTGTTCTGACATGTTTCGCTACAAATGCGTTGAGTATAGGATTTGAATGAACGGAAAGAGCCCTAGCCAGCGAATAGTAACATAAATTCAACAAGCAACTGCGCTTGAGGTACCCAACACGGTTCAATCATGTGTCAGAGACCAGAGTCGGATGTCGGTCCTACAGATATATCCACAGTATGACATAGCATGACAGTATGACATTCCTGTATGACACACCCTCATGATGTAAATGTTATGCATTTAGGCAGACACTAAATTGGAGGCTATCCAAGAAGTCATTAGTTTGAAGCAAAGTGGTATATAGGATTTTTTTTCGAAACAAGCCTGCTTGGCAAAAAGAGCATTGTCGAAACAAAACATGTCCACATCTGCCCTGCATTTTCCACCATTAATACACGGCGCACCAGCACGGTTCAAAGGTGTCTTCGATGTTTTGCCCTATTTTGTTGTTCTCTCATCTTCATTTGTCTCTCTGTCTCCCTCACTCTTTCTTTCTCTCCTCTTCTCATATCTCCTTTTCCGTCCTGAAAGCCGAAGCAATGATTTCGTAGCAACGCATTTCCTGATTGGAAATTTATTCGGCCGGCGGGACAATTTATGCTAAGCCCGGCGTACTTTGGTTGGGCGCCAGCACTCCGGTGCTGAGGGCGCGCGGGGAGGCGCGTGCCGGCCACGAGCGGCCGTGTTTGCAGACGGGGAGGACGGCGCCAGCGGGTGGTGGGGACCCTGGCGGCCGGCTGGTGGCGTCGGGTCGGCCAACACGCCGCTGAGGGGAGAGGTCCGTAAGTGGCAGAGGTTTGAAAAGTCGACCCACCGCGGCCGGTAGGAATAGGGTGAACCATACGCATTCCGATAGCCTCATGCTTACGGAAACCCGCCAATAAGTCACTGCACCTATGCAATGTAACTTGGTGAGCAGAACTCCATCGATGTAATTACAGTCCAAACATTACTTATAGAGCCAATTACGGCCATACTGTTGACACGTTTGCATAGCAACAATAAGTATGGTCCTAAAAGAGGCTGCGTGCTGCACGTAACTCACGCCGGTCACTATACGGACCACGTCAGTTGTACTGCACATAACTCACGCCGGTCACTGTACGGACCACGTCAGTCGTGCTGCACATAACTCCCACCAGTCACTACACAGACCACGTCAGTCGTGCTGCACATAACTCCCACCAGTCACTACGCAGACCACGTCAGTCGTGCTGCACATAACTCCCACCAGTCACTACGCAGACCACGTCAGTCGTGCTGCACATAACTCCCACCAGTCACTACGCAGACCACGTCAGTCGTGCTGCACATAACTCCCACCAGTCACTACGCAGACCACGTCAGTCGTGCTGCACATAACTCCCACCAGTCACTACGCAGACCGCGTCAGTCGCACCCTTTGATATACCACCAAGCCCGATAATAGCGCGGGGCGGCTGTGTTGTGGCATTGTACGCCACGTTAAACTCGCCTTAGGCCTGTCTGGCAAAAACGCCGGGAGCCAAATGTTACGATAAACTGAAATGACACAACCTGGGTGTTGGTTCAGAAAATACACCTAGTATGCCCATTTTACGGGATCGCAAAGACCACAAATGCACACAATCAAACTAAGTTTCCGTAATGGGCGCATGCTTTTTTATTTCTGTGCTGTTGCATGACTTACGCTGGGATGATGCCAGGGCATCTAAAGATATGCATGACTGTTGGTCAAGCACCAGTGAAAGCGAGCAGGGACTTACACAAGATGTCATAAAGGGGGCGCAACTAGAAGGTTTTCACTGATAACCATGTTTTGTGCGCTCTAGACACTCGAGTTCTTGACTGCCGTAAAACAACATTGCGTGTTGTCAATATTCCTATTTGTACCTGTCTATCTGGAATTCTTAGCCACCTTTCTACTATGTGTCCATGCTTATACTTGTGATAAGGTAATAACCGCCCTAATGTAAGATACTTATTAGATGTTATGCTAATACATGAGGCATGTGTTGCAGTGGGGAATAGAGCAGGGCAGCGGTGGTAACCACGTTGGACACTATCATCAGCGCTCTGCTATACTAATGACTCCA